TTTTTTGAGCATGTTGGATATGTATTATTGTAATCGTGATCACGTGTTAAGGATATTTTTGAAATATGTCTTTATATATATATATATATATATATATATATATATATATATATATTACATATATTTTATATTTATATATAATGTAAGTTTTTCATAATCGATTTAGCGGGCCAAGTGGGAGAATGTAATTTCCACATTACGTGTTAAGTGGGTGACCCGCTAATCTATTGTTTAAATTAATTAAATCCCACTATTTAAGTTAATACATATATCCAATTACAGAAATACTCATATTAAATCAATATTGTATAAAAGATAAGTGTCCTTTGATGGATTAGATTACTTAGCCGATTAATTATTTATTTATAAATAATTAATAAAAGATAATAGTTATTGATATAAAAAATAGTTAATTTTATCCGACTAAAATCGGGCCCTCAGCTCTCCTCTATTAAGGACAACTGGACTATGTATATATATATAAATATAAAGGTTATATTTTAAAAAAGAAGATATTTGTTTTTTTCCTTACATTTTCCATCACTAAGAGCACTACCAATGGTGAGCTAAAAATTTGCTCATGGGTATTTTAGGTGGACATAAAATTTGCTCATGCATTACAATAGTGAGCAAATGAGAAAAAGCCAAAAAATGCTCATGAGCATTTCTGAAAATGCCCAAGACTTGAGCATTTTTGAAGATGAATAGTGCTCTGGTGGGCCCCACAATTTGCAATGGTTGTATTTTTTGTAATGCAAATTCTGAAATAAATATTTATTAAAAAAAAAAATTAAAATTACCAACAGTCATAAAATTTAATTCTCTATAAATAGACATGCATTTTGGTATATTTTGGTATAATTTCAGAAATACCATAAATCCTCATATTCTTTATTTTAACGATAAAAACGACACAAATAAAAAAAAATAAGTTACACAAATTTAGACTAGTTTTTATTTATTTGGAGTAATATTGTTAAAATATAAATGAAATTAATAAATAAAAAAGTGTTGTGTAGGAGAGAGAAAGTAATAGTGGGGTATTGAAAAAGTAAGAGAGAGAGAGAGTAGTGGGCAAACATTTTTTTTGCTGATCAATGGGAGAGAAATTGTGAAAAAATTTATCCATGGGCAAAACAGATTTGTTGAGAGAGAAAGAGGGTAGAGAGATAGTGGGTGGGCATTTTTTTTTTCTCACTATCGAGAGTGGTCTAAGAGCTAATAAACAAAACCCAGTATTAAAGTTAGAGTGAGAGGAGAAGGGTTTGGTATTGTTCTTCTTCCCCATCAAGCTTCATCCAACCAAAGGTACAATCATGGCTCCAAGCTCATCAAATGGTATGTAATGTATCAATTGATTCTAGGCTTAAGGTTTATTTCCGCATTAAATTTCTTAAGTATTTCTTACAGTTCTATGGATTGCACAAACTATGATTGGTGTGAATTGGTAATATCAAAATTCATAGACAGTGTTTCAAGTTTTGCAAGGCGATTTTATGCCAGTGGCTTTGCTGGTGGGTGCGGGGGATGTGCAATATTTGGTGTGGTGAGTATGACAGTTTTGTCTTGATTGTTCGAGATTTTGATCATGTACAGGTTAAATAGGTGATCAATAAATAATATGTCGGTCATTTTTGCAGATTTTCTACCTTGACCGCCTTAATTTGGCTCCCAGTGATTGGGATGTTTTTCCCAGAGTTAAGGCTTGGAGCATGAAGCGAATTGGGATAGCAGGGAAGCTCGACCGCACAATATCTGGTGACTATGGGAAATTAGGGGTAATATCAGTGTTATAATTCTCTAACTTTCTATAACATTGAAATGTGAATTACAAAATAAAACATGTTAATGACATCAAAATATGGTTTTAGTAGTTGATAGACGTGGCTTATGGCAAAAGACACCCTAGAGTAGCAAGGGACACATTTGGCCCCCAGAATTTCCTCTGTACGCTGTGAGTGCTCTGAATTACTGATTGGAGTAATGTGTACAATAAAATAAGCTGAAACTAATTGGAGTAATGTGTGTATTATGTAGGATGTATCTGAGCTTCTTGTCTCAAGAAGTAAAGATAGGTGAAGGCGTGCCGACTTATGTGCTTTACGTGGGTGTACGAATCATGTATGTGCCGGATCTACCTCCCCTATCAATGAAGTTTCGGCAAGTGCAGATAATGTGACTGAAACTAGTGAAAGTAGTTGATTATAAAGTAAATCAATGATTGCATGTAAAATCTGGAGAGGTGGTATTCGATTGTACGGTTTTTCATTTTGGAATATATGTACGAATATTAACCTTTCCAGTATAAATGGAACTATTACATTTGGGTTGTAATAGCTTCTACAATCAGACTGTCGTGTATGAAAAAAAAAACTTTATTGCAAGAGTTACAAGCCCTGTGTAATACGTATTCGACGTTGGGCCATTACATAGTGTTTTTGATAGAGTTATGAAAAAGAGAATGTTGGAAAACTTAATTATATTGATGAATATACACGAGTATATATAGTACAAGATTAGAACATTAAACATACCAAACTATGACTAGATACAATATATGACTAGATACGTTAGCTAATTATAAGGGATATACTTTGACTATCATAGTTATGGAGTAAATCAAGGATTTACATATTCTAAACAATAACTAATAATGATAATGATGATATAATTATTTTTATCCTTTATAGTTTTCACCATGTGGTTGTGTGGATAGATTGTGTCTTGCAATTAGTTAGTCAGGCTGCTTTTTATCCACTTTAGCTGCACCATCCCTTCTTCCTATCATTCATGATAACCTTAACCTTACGACCAATGACATTGGTAATGCAGGAGTTGGATCAGTGTCTGGAGCAGTACTTGCCCGTGTTGCAATGGTTGCTGCCTGTGATTTAGTTGGTCCTCGACTAGACTCTGCTACACTTACCCTGCTTACTGCACCTGCAGTTTACCTCTCTGCTGTTACAGACTCACCCTCAAGCTTCTTTCTTATGCGGTTTTTCACTGGCTTTGTTTTAGCCACTTTTGTCTCGACTCAATACTGGATGAGCTCCATGCTCTTGCCAAGAGTTGTGGGTCAAGCCAATGGACAGGCAGCTGGGTGGGGCAACCTAGGAGGAGGTGTTGCGCAATTCATCATGCCTCTCGCTTATAGCATAATCCTTTAGACAAATGCAACATCGTTTGCTGCCTGAAGGATTGCAATTTTCATCCCTGCTCTCTTCCAGATGTCCTCAGCATTTGCAGTTATGATTTTTGGCCAAGACTTGCTAGACGGAAATTTCAACCAGCTGCAGAAGTCTGGTGATATGCACAAGGACAAATCATCCAACTATCCAAGGTTCTGTATTATGGGATCGCCAACTATAGGAGCTGGATCACTGCTTTAGGCTCGGATTCTGTTTTGGGGTGGAGCTAGCAGTGAATAATATCGTTGCATACTATTTCTGTGACCGGTTCAATCTAAACCTCACTAATTCAAGAATCATCGCGGCTAGTTTTGGGATGGTCAATCTCTTCTCCAGACCTAAAGGTGGTGGAATGTCAGATATAATGGCCAAAAAGTCTGGAATGAGGGTAAGACTGGAGCTGGTGGAATGTGCAGACTCTAAGTGGTGTATTGTGTATATCTTTGGGATCAATCAGCACTTTGGGTGCATCGATAGCAGTGATGATTATCTTCTCTGTGTTCGTTCAAGACGCTGAAGGACTTACATTTGGGGTTGTTCCTTTTGTTTCCAGAAGGTAATACTTTAATTTCTCGTGTTACTTCCTACAAAACAATTTACTACTCCTAAGTATAAGTTTATAAACCCTTCTGCCAGAGAGAAATCTGACATTTATCTTAATACACTTTAATTCTAAACTTCTGTCATTCATCAATATTTTTCAGATCTTTGGGCGTAGTTTCTGGCATGACCGGAGCTGGTAGAATGTCGGTGCGCTCATAACTCAAGTGATCTTCAGAGGATCGCAGTTTACAACAGAAAAGGGTATAACATACATGGGTATTATGATCACAGCATGCAGCCTCGGCATAACTTCCATATGCTTCCCACAGTGGGGAGGTCTGTTCTGCGGTCCTAAAGCAAATTTTACAGAAGAAGAATACTACTTAAGGGAATGGGATTCAAAGGAGCAGGAGCTTGGACTGCATGAGGGAAACATGAAATTCGCGGAAGATAGCAGAAATGAAAGGAGCATAAAGGCAAAGTCAGTACCAACAGAAGAGAGCAATACACCTGATCATGCCTAAATCCTGACTGCTGCAGCCTGCCGGTAGTCATCGTTCACTTTCAATCCCTTTTTGCGCCCTGTTGGCTGCTTGGCTCTCTCGTTGGTTAAACGTCCAATATGATCGTACTCAGGAGCACCATTTTCTACTGCACATCTAGAACTTTCCTTTCCCGAAATGTATGCTACATATATGCCATCCATTGTCATTTTTTGGGAATATGAGTTAAATGTATTTGAGAAATAATTCGATCTTTTGCCATTAACTATTGGTTTCAAATCTTCTTACAAATAAGGATTCCCAGATAACTTTGACTGTGTTGTGTATACGCGTATAGCTAAGGAGGCAACTAATGTACACAATGGTGCCTAGCCAATTCAATTAATTAAAGCCTTAATCCCATAAGCGGGGAGTGCCTACTGCCTAGCCAATTAAACAATAAAATGTTAAATTCGAGCACATAGAAAGTGTAGATTCGGCTCTGAAGAAGAAGCAAACTTACCGCATAGGAGATCTGGACATGAATGTATTAGAAGATTTAGAACCAATGAAGGCAAACGAATGTTGATAAGTACTTCTGTACTTGTTATACAGACGTCTGCGTCATATCAAATCTTTGTATGCCTAAATCAGTCATAGGCCTAGAGCACATCAAGTCTTAAGGAGAAGGGATCCTATGGAGGGTAAGATACAGAAAATCAAGATTTTGGTACTAGTACTACTACTATATGAAATCCTAGTTAATAATGTTATAACATAAAAAAGCAACACGAAAGATATGACTCTTTTACTATTAACTTAAGATTAGCAACAGCGCAAAAATACAAATTCAGGGCACACACCAGCAAAAGTTTATTCTACATTTACAAGTCAATTTTAGTTAAGATGAGCATTACTCTGAAAAAAGGAGAAAAATGTGAAAATTTACATGTAGAAAACAAGTTAAACATGAAGAAAAAGTAGTACTACACTTCAGTACCCTAATTGGCAAATCTTCTCATGTGATGATTGCACCCTACGAGCCAACCTATGACCATCCCTTAAGCAATAGTCTATACTTTGAGGAATTAAAGGAGCAGCTGTTTTACCATAAGAGTTCAAGCACAGTGCTTGCAGAAGACCTCGATTTCTTGGTGACGGCGTTAGTTGAATGTCAATTAGATCAACATCAGAGCAAGGAATATCATTGCTACAAGCAAAATGTATAGGTTGAGTAGAGTAAGTCCCTACTATTTTATTATATTGGATACCGGAGATTGCTACTGCCCCAGTTTGATTTTTGCAGTGAACATTGCTTTCGCAGTAGAATTGGTCTATTATTAGAGGGACCTTAACATCACTCACTTGTATGCCAGAAAATGATACGTTCTTCACTGATCCAATACCACCCTGGAAATAAATTTACCAAGATATAAATGATTGATCATATTGAAGCATGTTTGTATGTTGATTTGAACTGCAAAAGATCTTAATTATCACTTACAGGCCATGTCTTGATCCTTACTCCAAATAACGTGTTGTGCATGATGATGTCCTCTACGACGATATCTGAGACACAAGCGATGCTTCTATCTTTTCCTAAACCTCCCAAACTGCAAACAAGAAACGCTTTTTAGTAAAAGTTGTAATTTTAGTGTTTTACTAACATAGAATATTTTCAGATGCTCAGAGAAAAATTCTCAACTTCCTATAGTAGTAATGACAATTGAATGATGGCAAGAGCATGAGAACGATCCAAAAATAAAAAGCTTCATATGAAAATCAAATCATATCTTAATTACAATGTAAGGACAACGTGATAGGATGTTAGATTGTGACACTTATTTTCGGATGGAGAATGTATATGATACATCTTACAAAATATAGAATGTTACCTTATACCATGACCAGGACAGCAGGTAATGTGGTGTAAATGAACGTTAGAGCAACCAGTTTGAATAGATACACAGTCATCTCCTGCACAGAATCAGTAAACATTAATCTTATATTTAAAAGCAAATAGTTAAAGCTGGTCTATACATGACATGAGCATTACTATATGAATAGCAAGTACTTTATAATATTAATTTCCTACAAAAACAAGAAATTATACTTAAGTTAGCAAATTGCAAGGCAGTTTAATGTAAAGATTTCAGTCTCAGGAATTTTTCAGAAGTTACCAAGTTAGTGGAGGTAAACAAATAGCAGGAGCAGTACTTTTTAAAGGCCTACTTTTTAAAAGTTAGTTAAAAGTGACCGTTTTATGCAACCGTTAACCGCTTTCCAAAAAAGTTGAGTATTCAGTGGAACTGTGGAAGCTTATAAATTACTCACTTCTTAGTTAGGTCCATTACAAAAAGGAAGTGAGCCTCTGTCAATTTCACTTTTCAATTACAAATATGGTTTTTTAATCTATAAACAAGTATAATATATACTCTACATTAATGGATTATTCTATACTGATGAAATTATTTTATATAAATATAGATTTGACTAGATAAATTAGGGCCTTGACAACCAAAAAGTACCATATAGATAAACATGCATTAAAACAACTAGGGCAAAAGACCAGACAGATTTTAATATTAAACGAGGTTCTCTCAAATGAATTAAAGGAAACCTGAAAAAAGCAATCATTTATACTCTTAATCTTTGCCAGTTGTAACTTGTAAGGTATAATGTTTCTGCAAAGACTTTTGTTTACCAACATACGAAGTACAACTTTTATCATTAATATCTTTTTGCAGAGACTATTTATACGTTTATACAATCTAATATGGTCAAGATGAATTATGTGAATCGTGTCAAAGGTATTTACCACTATAAAAAGGAAAAAGATTCTCAGCAAACATATGTACGTAGGAAATTTACATACACTCGAGTTAAAATATTACTCCTTCGTTCATACTTAATCAATACATAGATTACATCTGATAGATGAATCCAAATTAAAGGATTAGCACTAAAACAATAATTAGGATGATTCTGTAGAATTGTCACAATAATTAGAATTCTTTTCTATGTGAGTATTTACATCCTTATCATGTCAAGAATAGTCCTTCATCAACATATTCTATTGCATGTACCATTAAGGTTAATAAGTGAATCATCTATTATTTTGAGACATACCAACATAGAAATGTGGTTTGTGATATAGAACCGAAAGAACGCCTACTTTAATAAACTTTGAGCAGACTACTTTATTGAATCATTTGGTTTATCCTTAAATTTGGAATTTTTATTGGAAAGTATCCATAAAGAACAAGTCTTTGTCACTTTGTGTAGCTTCAAGAAGACAAAAACAAAGACAAAACATGCTGAGTAGAGAACAAAATTTAAGAGAGGATCAATTTCAGTGATGGAAGTTTTACTATAAACAACCATTGAGGCATGAAAACTTCAACATTTTTTTATGACACAAATGTAGGTTTACACTTACCACAGCCAATGTTGGAATGATGTATTTCAACATCCCTACAGTTCTGAAGATGAATGCCATCCGTATTAGGACTATCTTCTGGAGATGAAATGGTAACATTATGGACCTGAATGCCGACAGAGTTATCGAATTTCAGATGGCACAGTGGGCTGTTTGTTATTGTAATATCACGTACTGTAATGCCATTGCTGGAGTAGAATCGTAATGCCTGCATGCGTGCAAAAAGATTGTTAAGAAGTACATCTAATTGGAATGAAAAGTACTGCCTCCATTTAGACTCCAAATTAATAGTCATGTTGATATTGTAATATGAACTTGTAATGTGACGTCTAAATTTAGACAGAGGGAGCAAATATGGTAGAATTTCTAACCTTTTTTTTTTTTTGGCAAGAGTAGAATTTCTAACTTAACAACAAAACAAAAGGAGTAGATGTATAGAGGAAGGAAAGCTTACTGATGGCTTCATACTTGGAACTCGTGCAGGTTGATGTCTCTTCTGCAAAATAACCATTCAAATAGATTTAACCAACGTAATCCATTATACTAGATACTTTGTATATTGTTAAGCATTTGTTATGATTTAAAATTATTTTTGCAGTATTACCTAGCCCCATCTCAAAGTATTACTTGTTAGTCCAGCAATAATAGTGATAAAAGATTGTATTGAAGGGATACATCACATACATGTTTTTTCTGAGATAACTAACCTTATTTGTAGTGGACTGGGAGGACATCCACCACTCAGAACCTTGACCATCAACAATTCCACTGCCTTGGATGGTGAAATTTTGCACCCATTTAAAATTAATCCATTGAAAAAGACCAGATTTTGGCCAGGAGCTTACTTTTGGGGGAGCTAAAACCACTCCATCAATCTGTCATCATCATATTTGCAACAATTTCAGCAATATAATTATAAGGAAAATGCTAAAAGTAGTCATATGGGCTATAAATTGTTTAATAGTGCAAAAAAAAAAAAAATCCATCTATAAGTTTTGCTTAAGAGAATTATGAAAAAAAAGAAAAAAAAAAAAACTATAGTACTCACTACTCAATAGTAAAGAAAGACAAACCTGAAGAACAAGTTGTGGCATACAAGGCCCTTGGAAAGTTATTGGGTTAATTAAGAACTTATTTCCTGAAGGAATTTCCACTGTTGCCCCTTCTACTTTGCATGCAGCTTCCCATGCTTCTAGCAGTGCCTATTATTCATTTGAAAAAAATATATAATCAGCTACTATATGAGTATATGTACACCAAGAAAACTATAGGAGCATATCATAAGATATCAACAAATCTTATCTAAAACCACCTTAGCCTCTACATCCCCTACATGATATGAAGCATAATCAATCTGAGGCGAATAGCACAAAATGAAACACATAAGAAGCAAAGAAGAGTTAATTAATAAACCTTGGTATCATCGGTAGCTTCATTTCCTTTTGCACCGAAAGAAAGGACATTAAAGTTATTCGACATAGTTGGGTCAGTCGAACCTGGAGGAGGTGTTGGTGCAGCAGGAGTTGGACAATAACGTCCAGATTTCCCTTTGCCATGTTTATGTTTCTTATGACTTAGAGCACTGCTCTTCCTAGCCTCAACCAAGCTACCTAAAAATGTGACATGAAAACTTGCTAAGAAGAAAAATAGGTAGAGTATGGACAAGCACTGCCTACACTTCATTTTTTATTCTTCCCTTCAGGAAATTTTTGCTTAGGATTTCAGAAGTTTGATGGGTATTTTACTGGTTATAAGACGAGGCAGGGGAGCAACTGGTTGTTGAGGACAGTTTATATATGCTGTACTAAGTAAGTACAAAGTACCTTAGCTTCCTAATTCCAGAAACTTATAGTAGATTATGCCCCCATATTATGTTCTAAAGTAACATTATTTTTACCTAAACTTATGAGTTGGTAGTTGCCTTTGTTGTTATGTGTCAAACATAATACTCAAAATGCATGTTGATGGGCTAAATAATAGGATAATCTAGTTAGTGGAAATTGAGTGCTTGAAGTTATAACTTTATTATGAGCCAGGATAAAATGGTGTAAACTAGGATAAAGGTGCATGCACCTTTGCTGGTACTAATTTGGTTATTATTAATATGGGCATGCAAACCTAATTTATGAAGTAAAACAGCTCTTGAAGCCTAACTAAGACAAGACTTGGTGTATGATTGGGCAATCACTTGCTAGTATTTTACATACATTCCGGATAATTATAGTCTCTCTGTAGGATAAAGTTCAAGTACAACTAGGAATACCAAACACTTCACCATGCAATAAAGGGATATTTCAATTTCTTTATTAGGAATGAAGAATTGGCCTTTGACAAAAGTAGAGCTGACAAATAAATCGTGTTAACTCATGTTCGTGTCGATAAACTATAAAACAAATTAAAAATCCCTCAAACTAAAACTAACCCATTTTTTAAATGACTAGAATGCTCAACCTTAAACCGGTATTTTATTAGTTTACCGTAGTCTATCGCAATAAACCAAATTATTTATCATCATTCTTATCCCAATCAACCACATTCACTAATATAGTAATTTGAGCATTTACATGTAAATAAATAAATGGGATAAAACAAGTTATTTTGGGTTAAATATAGTCTTTCTCTAGTTTTGGGTGTGCAACAATAAAGAGAATTTTCTTTTTACAAAAGATTAACTAATTATTCACAAATCTGCTATGATGTATCCATATAACCATTATAAATCTTCTATCGTGATTAATTTAGAAATTTATGAAAAAAATTCCACAGTGATTAACAATACCACCATGATCAGTGACATTACTTACAGAGCATATCATTTTCCTCCAAATAAATGAGAATGTAATTGCTTTTCACGACTCTGGTTTTACTAAGAGTGGAGTTTCAACTTTCAAGTGTTGAGAAATCCAACATAGTTGAGTAAACATAACTCAAAATACTAAGGTTATCCTATCCTCACCTTAATTTCACTTATTTTTCTTATGTATATGAGGCAAAAGTGTCGCTTGACCATCATAAAAATTCAAGCAACAGGCCAAAAAAAAAGGGAGAGTGAAGAAAGGCTCGACTATTAATAAATGAACGTTTAGTATGTTAAGGTAGGCGTGTCAAACTGTCAATATTTATGAGAATTTGGAGCAATGTAACAAAGGAAAATCGGAATGGAATTAATAAATAAGTGTTTAGTATGTAAAGGTAGTCGTACCAAACTGTCAATAATTATAAGAGTTTGGGATAATGTAACAATTAAAATCGGAATGGATGGATATAGAGGCGCATTAGCATAAATTTCCCTAGAAATTCAATCAAGATAGGACACTAAGCTCTATAAAATTGGTGAGCAATACCTTAAAGAGAGAATGTATCAGCAGAAGGTGCCTTGCATGTTAATATAGAGCTTTATAGTAGAGTAGTAAAAAGGGTTTAAAGAAGGAAAAAAATAAAGTGAAAGGGTTTATGAATTATGATGCCTGAAAAATTAGGCCTATCTTTATGCCTTGCACGCCGTGGGTCCATTTTGAAAATGGGACGGTGCTGCTGATGCATATTATGCTAATATTGGTCTAGTACTATAGAGTTGTTTATCCCATAAAATATGGAAAATATTGGAAGGTGGATGATGAGAAACTTAACAATATGATGGTTGCCCAAATGTAGCTCCTTCAAGTTAATTTTTCGTAGAGTACCTAATATTTGCACCTGCTCAGCTAGTCATCACTCCGAATTCTTACATACATCAGGGTACTTACACACTAGTCTACTAGACACATCAGTCACTCACAAGACCACATCCAAAGGGTGTATTTGTTGAATAAGTAATTTAATGTGAATGAACACCTTAATTAAATCGGGTAGTCAGATGTATAATAGTTAGCTGCAAATTGTGCATTCAGCTAAGCCTGTTCCATTGTGGCATAGTTTAATTCTTATCTTGTTTGGTTTAAGAATTAAGACTACGCGTCCCATATACATTACATTATCTATATACATTTATATATCTGCAGCTTTTGACACCAAAAAGGAAAAAGCTGAAACGTAACCCTCTCAAATGAATTGAACTTCATAAAATGGCCTCCACTAAAAGATAGGAATTTATGCAAAACACTAGCACTGAAATTCAAGGATGTAGAACTACCTGGAGGTTAAGGAAAATGATTTACCGTACCTTAGCTAGTTGGTTGGTAGTGGTCCTTGCTGCAACTCTATCAGCTCTGTCTCTCCTAATTCTTCTTCAGGTTTAAAGCTGCTAATTTTATAAGAAGGAAGAGAATTGTTAAGCGACGAATAAGAGGCAACAAAACAAACAATCTAAAGACCTTAGGGGATAAAAACTTAAACTGCATAACCCTCATACACAGAGATAAATTGAACAATGCTCTTATCTTAAGCTCAAACTTGGTATAAAACTCTCGAAGAAGCAGCAAATTAATTCCATGATTCCAAAAAATTGTCTGTTGGTTCTAGCTTAGTTAACAAAGTACATTATGTTCCCATCATCAGCCCTTTCTGCAAGCCCCAGGCTATTTAAGTCCATGATTTTCTACTTGACCCTTACTTAAAGTCAGAAGACATTGCCTGATGGAACACACCGAACAGATAGCTGTTGTAGTCAAGAGGACGTTTTTCAATGAAATCAATTTAATCGCAGCATTTAGAACAAAAAGCTCATGAAGCTTGCCTGTGAATGTCACTTCTTTGGTTAGTGTTTACAGTATTCTATACAGTCAAAACTCAAAGTTGCTCTCCTACAGATTATAATTATGGCATGAGTCAAATGACCATGGAGTTTGCCGTTTTCATACAAGGGAACAGAAGTTGTCATCCAATAAGCCAGGGGTACAGAGTCATATTGGCAATAATTAGAGTTTAGCCAAACTAGATTAATGTATGATAAGTAACAATGCTCTAATATTATAGATGTAAGAATTATAATATTAAAGTAGCAACAGCCAAGAGTAAATTGTACACAGATCCATAACCATTTTGCAGTTTCGTTTGCACAGCTAGCAAATCATGCAAGTCTTTTCTTTTTTCCTTGTCTCTCTATCCATGCTAGCTTAATTATCTCTCCTTACATGTTTTGGTCAATTGTTTATTGTGAGATCTAACAGACACTAATTTCCCTGGGCGTAGCAGCCTAGTAGGAAGCCAGAAAAGCCTAATCATGTGATTCTCTAACTGAATTCGACCATAGATGATGTGGTAATTTTAGAATACATAATACGAAGTAATATTTAGAAAAGTGGAAAAATAATCTCAAAAACCTGTGGATGTCCCTAGTACGAATGATAACATTCAAAAAAAAGAAAATAAAACAGAAACAAGATGATGAAATGCAGGCAGAACCAACTACCAAGACCAAATTAGATAGACTAACAGCAGTATAAGCCATAAGAAAGAGAAAACAGAAAAACACTGCATATATATCTGATTTCCATCCTATTTCTTAGGGCAAGCCTTAAATTATCTGCTAAAAGCTTGAAGAGACCAAGAATTATCCTAAACATCAGATTAGTAACAATCACTCGTGGTCCCAATGTGGAAACCCGCATGGAGTCTCAATCAAAAAATTAATACAAAAAGGATGACTTGTGCTTTGTTTGGATAGCAAATAAGGTTGGAAAAGAAGGGGAGGGAAATAGGAGGAAGGGAAGGGAAAAGAAAGGAAGGGGGAGGCGAGCTCTATTTTCCCTCCAAATCTCTCCTAATTTGGAGAGATTATGCTTATTAAAGAAAGAGGGAAAATGGATCCCTCCCTCTCCTTTCCCTTCCTTCCCCCAATCCTTTTATACAAACAAGAGAGTTTGTCCCCCTTCCTTTCTCTTCCCTTCTTTTCCTTCCATTTCCTTATATCCAAACAAATTATTAGTGAAACATCAACTCACTTGGACAAGGAAGAAGTGGCCCTCCGCTGCTATTGATCGAATACATACATGCATGCAGAAAGTGAGTTTGAGCTTATGTCTCTCTTCACATTTGCCTACTAAGCAAGTGTACTGCATGGAAGAGAATTAGTGAGTTACTAATCAGATCATGTAATAATTGTTCAACTACTGTCTTAAGATTAATAATAATGTAGGGAGAAAATCTTTTCCTTCGTTTTTCATTGTTTTCAAGCTTGAAAATTTGAATATACAGTACAGTAACTACCTATTGATTTGAAATAGACAAGCACTATGTGTTGATACCACACATCACAGAAATTTAAAATGCTATGAAAACCAACAATGGTATACACTATGGTCAAAAAGAAAATATTCTGGACTCTGAAGACCAGCTAGTTTCACAACCTGGTCAACAATAATGGCCATCAATGGGAAGGCGCAGCGATAGAGTTATCACACGTTGGACCTTTTCTTCACTCGAAAAGAAGGCACAGAAAGCAGAAGCTAATGCCCACCGATACATTTTCAATGTGAATGGAATTATAGTTTCAAATACTTGAACCTGTCAACAGGATGGACTTTGAAAAATTATTAAGTTGAGAGAGACCGGCAAATAGGAAACTTCAAACTCTTGGAGTAAAGATCAAACCGTAAACACCACTTAGCAGGATTTAGAGTTAAAATCATGTAGAGATGACAAACCCTCTATGAAGTGGAAAATTTTTCATTCCACCAGCAAACGGGTAAGAAAGCTTACGAAATTTTTCAACGATGAAGGCGGCCTCTTCTCCCATCCCTAGGCCACAATTTTTTATCCCATTGGTGACTGTTATCTTCTGGGTGAAAATGTCGATGGGAGACCCAAGAATCCAGACAGTCAAGATCATCTGTTTACATCAAAAATTTTGTGACAACAATGGGGAGCCTCAGCAACCTAGTTCGTACCTCTGGATTTGGGGAATCAGTCTCAGGATCAGCTCCTTACACCAATTATGGCCTTGCACAATGCTACGGGGACCTTTCTTCTCTGGACTGTGTACTGTGCTATGCTCAAGCACGAACTGCCCTCCCCCAATGCTTCCCTTCTACTGGAGGACGCATATACTTGGATGGTTGTTATGCAAGAAGTGAGAACTACAACTTCTATGAGGAATATTTGGGGCCAACTGATACAGCTGTTTGTGGTAACAAAACAAGAGCTAAACCAGCATTTGTCGAGTCAGCTAGGAGGGCTGTGATGCAGGCAGTAGCAAATGCACCAAAAAATAAAGGGTATGCGAGGGAAAAGGTGTTGGTCACAGGAGAAGGAAATGAGTCGGCCTATGTTCTTGCCAATTGCTGGGAGAGCTTAAATATTAGCTCTTGTCAGTTATGCTTAACGAACGCATCTTCAAAGATATTGAGATGCTTACCATCGTCTGAGGGACGGGCTTTGAACACAGGGTGCTTCGTAAGGTATTCAAATGTCAATTTTCTGAACAATGAATCCAAGAGTGGAATTTCAAAAGGTAATTCAAATATTTTCTCACCTTTTCGGTCACAATATAATCCTTTCGTTTGCTTTTATTGGTTGTCCCAAATTAATCTTCTGGTATCCTTTGGAAGCAAAAAAATCTCAACATGACAACATCACATCAACGTAATTCTTCTCACAATTCCAACACTATTTCTCACTAATTTCTCTATGTATCGACTAACTTCCATACAAAAAACAACCAGGAAGAATATTAAGAGACAGAGGCAGTACTTTTTTTGTTCTGGAATTCATTTAGTGCGAATTATGCTTAAGAATAGTAATAATACAGAGACAGTGTATCGTGAAGATCATAAAAAAGAAACTTATTGTCGGGTAGTAGTGCATCAGCTTTAAAATCCATTTGCTTTGGAGTTCTTCAGGTACTATCAGAGTAATAGCAGTCAGCGTTACCAGCACCGTCATTCTTTTGGCAATTGGGATAGCTGCTGGAATTCATTTCAGGAAGCTCAGGAGAATAAAGAAGAAACGAAGAGGTATAACTATGAATTGACAAATGCAGCATTTATAGATAGATTGAAACTTTCCAATCTCCGCTATTCTCATTGTTTTCATTTTTTCTCCTTTCCAAATAGGATCAAATGATGCAGAGGAATTAGTGCAGATGCTTCATGATAGTAGCTTGAACTTCAAGTACTCGACACTTGAGAAGGCCACAGACTCTTTTGCAGAAGCCAATAAGCTAGGGCAAGGAGGATTTGGAACAGTATATAAGGTTACACCCTTTCCTCTTCACTGATTATTGCTGATGAAAACTGAATTTAGTCAATAATCATTTAATAAGTTAAGAGAACAGGATCTGAAGGCAACAAGAACACTCTTCCTGAATCGTCTGAAAGGAGCTGCCTCATTTTGAGTAGAAAATTATCACAGCTCTACATTCACCAAATTTTTAATCTAATAGTGTGTCTTCAGGGAGTCTTGGCTGATGGAAGGGAAATTGCTGTCAAGAGACTCTTCCTGAACAATAAACATAGAGCGGCAGACTTCTATAATGAAGTTAACATAATCAGCGGCCTGCAGCACAATAATCTGGTTAGATTATTGGGCTGTAGTTGCTCGGGACCTGAAAGTCTCCTTGTTTATAGCCCAACAAGAGTCTTGATCACTTCATCTTTGGTAATCACTATGACCTCTGCTACTAAATAAACTGAAGCTCATCTTTCTTTATGATCCCGACATTGAAATTCTTGAATGTACATCATCAGATCCCTTGTTAGGTAGAACCCTAAACTGGAAGAAAAGATATGGTATAATGATTGGCACTGCTGAAGGTTTGGCATATCTTCACGAAAATACAATTACAAGAATCAATCACAGGGACATAAAAGCAAGCAACATTCTGCTGGATGCAAAATTTCGAGCAAAAATTGCTGATTTTGGGTTGGCCAGGACTTTTCAAGATGATAAAAGCCACATTAGTACAGCCATTGCAGGCACACTGTATGTAATTCAAAACTTTATAATAGGTTAGCAATAATTCCGTGAATAAAAAGCAGCATATGCTATTATGTGGGGAATGTATCGTCACCCTTCCTAATATAATTCTAGTTTATGGTTTGATTTTCCAAATATAGACCACATAAATAAAGTGGGAGGGGGTGGGGGGGGGGGGGGGGGGGATAACACTAGTACAAATGGTGTTTTAGAAAAATCATGTTATGTCCTTAATTATAAGGGGTCGGGAATTTATCTTCTTTCATTTCCATGCCTAAAGCTCAATTTTCACAAAATTGCATATTGCATCACTATCTATCAGGGGATATATGGCCCCAGAGTATTTAGCTCACGGGAAGCTAACAGAGAAGGCAGATGTTTACAGCTTCGGGGTGCTGCTGCTAGAGATAGTCACAGGAATGCAAAACAACAGGACAAAAAATGAAGACTACTCAGAAAGCTTAATAATAGCAAGTGTGAGTTCCTATTTTTCTTTTTTGTCCTATCAAGTTGCCAAAAACCATTTTCCAGTGACCTAAGTCTCCTAACACTAGTACAAATGGTGTTTTAGAAAAATCATGTTATGTCCTTAACTATAAGGGGTCGGGAATTTATCTTCTTTCATTTCCATGCCTAAAGCTCAATTTTCACAAAATTGCATATTGCATCACTATCTATCAGGGGATATATGGCCCCAGAGTATTTAGCTCACGGGAAGCTAACAGAGAAGGCAGATGTTTACAGCTTCGGGGTGCTGCTGCTAGAGATAGTCACAGGAATGCAAAACAACAGGACAAAAAATGAAGACTACTCAGAAAGCTTAATAATAGCAAGTGTGAGTTCCTATTTTTCTTTTTTGTCCTATCAAGTTGCCAAAAACCATTTTCCAGTGACCTAAGTCTCCTAACACTAGTACAAATGGTGTTTTAGAAAAATCATGTTATGTCCTTAACTATAAGGGGTCGGGAATTTATCTTCTTTCATTTCCATGCCTAAAGCTCAATTTTCACAAAATTGCATATTGCATCACTATCTATCAGGGGATATATGGCCCCAGAGTATTTAGCTCACGGGAAGCTAACAGAGAAGGCAGATGTTTACAGCTTCGGGGTGCTGCTGCTAGAGATAGTCACAGGAATGCAAAACAACAGGACAAAAAATGAAGACTACTCAGAAAGCTTAATAATAGCAAGTGTGAGTTCCTATTTTTCTTTTTTGTCCTATCAAGTTGCCAAAAATCATTTTCCAGTGACCTAAGTCTCCTAACACTAGTACAAATGGTGTTTTAGAAAAATCATGTTATGTCCTTAATTATAAGGGGTCGGGAATTTATCTTCTTTCATTTCCATGCCTAAAGCTCAATTTTCACAAAATTGCATATTGCATCACTATCTATCAGGGGATATATGGCCCCAGAGTATTTAGCTCACGGGAAGCTAACAGAGAAGGCAGATGTTTACAGCTTCGGGGTGCTGCTGCTAGAGATAGTCACAGGAATGCAAAACAACAGGACAAAAAATGAAGACTACTCAGAAAGCTTAATAATAGCAAGTGTGAGTTCCTATTTTTCTTTTTTGTCCTATCAAGTTGCCAAAAACCATTTTCCAGTGACCTAAGTCTCCTAACACTCTAACAGACATGGAAGCATTTCCAAAGGAGCACTCTGGAAGGTATCCTAGATCCAAACTTAACACCACCAGAAGAAAATGACGGCAACATCAATGAAGAAGCCATGAGAGTTGTGCACATAGGACTTCTGTGCACCCAAGAGGTACCTTCACTCCGGCCATCAATGTCGACAACAGTACAAATGCTGAAGAAGGAAAGGCACCTTCCTCCACCTTCTAGTCCACCTTTTATAGATGAAAGGACTATGGAACTCAATGATATGTGTGAAAATCCAAATCACCCTCTACGAGGAGAATCGTCATCTTCTATCGCTACTCTGGCTTTTAGCTCATTTCACGGTAGGTGATACTACATACTTGTGAAGGTAAGACACATTTTCTCAGAGAAGAAAACCCAAAAAATCCAAGGCAATCGTAAAGCGTATGTGAAGCAAGCTAGAGACTAAACAGAGGTAAAACAGGAAAAGATAACACATATTGTCATAAGAGCTAGTAAGCAGCATGCTCATTACTCCATAAATTCCAGTAGAACCAACTAGAATATGGAGATAGTTACAAAGTAAATGTATACTACTAATGTAGTCGATAAATGGAACACTGCATTGTTACCTTACATTCACAGCAGTAAATCAGCTCAAATAATTCGAAATTCATCAATCATCCGAATACAACTGTATTACTTCCTCCATTACTTTTTAAATGCATCACTTTCTAAAAATAGAAGTTTCAATTTAGATGCATCAATATCCTTTTTGATTAATAAATTATCTCTATCTCTCTCATATCACATGGGCCTTCTTTATTTTTCTCTCTATCTCTCTCTGCTCCAAAAATTGCCTAGTAGTCCATGAATTTAAAAGTGATGCATCTACAAAAAACGGAGGAAGTATAACCAATTTATTTACTCTATGGATGTTCAAAGGTTCTCTTCATCTACCTAAAAAAAAAAAGTCCATCTTCAATCCCAAAGCAAAAGATGCTAAATGCAAAATATGCTAGGTTGGAAAGAGATAACTGATAGATTCTATTCACAGTTAATCAGTTCCAGATTCATGACAACTTGACAAGTAGCAAAGAAGTCATATGAACCAATAATTAGAATCATTACATTTACAAATTATCCAGTATGTAATTTAACAGATAAAAAGATGACAAGGGTAAAACAAAAGCTAGTAATTCATACTACACTACTTGAATAATGCACATAACTGATGTATGTCCATTTCATCAAAATGCCATATCTATGATGTAATAGACAAGGACCCACTTATCGAGTTACCACCAGATTCCCCATTAGTCCGCCAGCAATCTCATAAAATTTGGCATCTGAAAACCCAGCCGCAAGAGCAAGCTGCTCCAATTCCTTTCCTACACCAAGAAAACTTTATGGACTGAATGAACTATCTGACCTCTTAAAACTTTCAGATAATAATCTAGTCTATCCTTATTTCTTCATTCTTAACAAACACAGAAAACAGTAACAGAAGCATTAAACAAAAACAAAAACCTTATATCTTAAGACTTGTAGAGAATGCCTACATGACAAAGCTATGGTGCATAAACTCAAGCTATTAGGCTAATGTAATGTGCTGACCTGTCAGATATTCCTGAATTGAGCTTTTCAGGTAGCGGTACTCCTCAGCCAGACCATAGTTAGTAGCAACAGGAACAACAATGTTGTCTATCATCCATTCCTAGTAAACAAGCAAAGAAGAATTAGAAGAAAAATCAAACTCTATTCAATGAGCATTGTTATGTGTGCAACTGAAGCCATGAACTTCATATAATGCAACAAATATCATAAATATTCATCATGGAAATTAAATATTCATGCTTTTGTAGCTCGTCTACTCCTATAAGCTAATGAAAAGGATTCCAGAGGAAGCACAAGGCAAATAATAACAGCCAAGCAGGGGCACATGCCTACACTCTTCTTTACATGAAACCAAGTACGCTCGAATCAGTTGGAAGCACAAATATCTCAGAACACAAAAGACAAGAAAAAATTAAAATATAACTGATCGACACCACAAAAGCCAAACATGACAGAACTCAATTCTCAGCCTGTAAACCAATAACCTGTACCTGGATCACACCAGTAATCGGCTCCATGCTTTTATTGAAATCAAGGATTGAAGCCTTACACCCTGACAAAGAAATTCACCATTTAGCTACAAAAAAAGTGTGACATAATATCCATAGATGAGTAGACAATTGAAGAGATCACAAAAACCTGGTTTAAGAACTCGAAAAATCTCTTCTACAGCTCTTTCTTTATCTGTTACGTTCCTCAATCCATATCCCATAGTAATGGCATCAAAATTTTTGTCACTGAATGGTAAGTTAAGTGCATCACCTTCCAACCACCTGTGATGCATTTGATACAAAACTCAACTACCTCCAATAAAATTATTATTACAAGAGGAATTCTCGAACAAACACCACCAACTATAAAATTACCAGTGCTCACTCTATGTTCGTGTAGCAGAGAGTGGACCTTTCTTGCTGCCGCGATGAAGCAATTAACAATTGGTTCCTCGAAAAATCCACGCCAATCACCTGTAAGTACATCCCTATTGCGACCTCTTAGGAATCAAGGTAGGTACACTTTCAAATCACAAAGACAAAGATAGAAAACCTGTCCATCTAGGCCAACTTTTTCGGACAAAAGAAACGCCAAATCCCCACTTCCGCAACATATGTCCAACACATTATCCCCTCTCTTTGCTCTGTTGGCAATATTGCAAGGACAGCAAACAATTGAAACATATACGCTATAAATTATGAAAAATAATGTTAAAACTTAAAAGTTTGGAATCCAATAGCACATAACATAAGTTTGATGATTTCCTTTACATAATGTACTCAGTTTTCACAAATTCACTTACAACAAAAAGAAATGGCATAACATCCCCCCACCCCTCCTTCTTTCTACAATAAAAATTACACTTGTCTATTTCTTTCAAATTAGATTAACCTATTTCTAAACGCGTTTCAGCAACAAATCCCTGGTCTTTCACCACATTAAATGGAGGGAGTACATTATAAAAGGGAAAAATAAATAAATAAGCATTTTCCCACCTTAAACATCTTTTCTAATTTTTCAGGAAAAAATACCCCGTATTTGTTAAGACAATTTGGTTAGGGTAACACTATCATTCAAATGTAAACAACCGAATTCAACTTTCATGATTTCACCATTCAATTAACCAAGAGTGAAATAGTGATGATCAACACCCTTGGTGATCTATTTAAAGCTATATCTAATTAATTGAAATGCAATGCAAAACAAAACCAAAACTTATACTCTGTGTTTTCTAATTTGACGAATTCAAGGTAACATAACACCTACTGCTTAGTAGGCTAATACCATTCTGCTAAACAAACAATTTATTAATTCCAAGAAATGCTTCAACTAAAAAAACGGAGAAATTAGCTAGTTTTATAAAATTGCGGTTAATAGCTCAGATAACAAAATTAAAGGAAACAATTAGCTACCTCAAATAGTGGAATTTAGTAATATTCACCTCTCAATAATATAAATATTCAAGTAATTAGCATATGTTCAAGGATAATGTCATCAGAATAATGAAATTGTAGAAATTTGGGCACATAATTAAACTTCAAATAATCAAAAACAAATTAAAATAAAAAATACCCGCTCCAGGACACGGCCATGCGCTTCCAAACACGATGCTGCCCCAAGCTCAACAAATCATTCAACTGTGATTTTATAATTATTTAAAAAAAAAATCAGATTTAATCAATAAAAATTACTTTGGTAGATGAATTATCAAAAGAAGAAAATAAAAAGGTTAACTGAAGTGAAATATGAATGAATAAAAGAAAAAAAAAAAAAAAAGAGAAAATGCGTACGTTATCGTAAACAGGAGCAATGCGGCTAAAAAGCGCCTGGCGTTGATCGGAGCATCGAAGCCTCAATTTACGGTGCCGGAAAACAGAATTTTCCGGCGAAAGGAGTGATGAACGGCAGTGTAAGAGTGGTGTTAGTTGTAGTGTTGGCATTTTGGGTTATCCTCTTTCTCACTCTCTTTCTTCCAGAAGAGAAAGATTAAAGTTCCGAATTTTTATTATTGGGATTCATTGGGCCGTTCATAGCAATTTAGTTGGGCTTTCGTGAAAAAAAATATTACCAATCTCAAGCCCAATCTCTAGCCGGTTTCGATGCAACTGAAATGATTGGGCCCAAGTACGTCAGACACTCAAGTTTTTGTTCACTTAGCAAAGTTTGCAATTTAACTGATCCATTAAGTTGTGTTAGTAGATGCCATTTGTCAAAATGAATATTAGAGTATTTGAGTAATACTAGATCAAATCTCATCTACTATATTATTTGTGACTATCTCAACAACTATTAAAATTATGTTACCGACTACGACTCATACTGTAATACATGTTAATTGAGCTCAAATATGCGAGTAAAAACAATCTCATCCAATTGACGGATGTTAAATAACAAATATGGATTACAAATAAGAGAGATTAATAACTATTTCTGGTATTATGTTACTACTGTAACACCCCAACCACCAAGGTTGCTATTAGAATTGAACACGCTACCTTCATATCTTGATTGGGTGTTAGATCACACGTAAACACATTTATTATCAATAATATAATAATCACCATAATCATTCATAACGTGAGCATTAAGGTTGGCCTAATTGGATGGAGGCACTCCTTCCACCCCTATGACTAGGGTTCGATCCTCATCCTAAACAAGTGGACCCCCAATTTCCTCCTTGGTTGCAAGAAGGGGGGACACATAATCATTCATAACGTGAGCATTAAGGTTGGCCTAATTGGTTGGAGGCACTCCTTCCACCCCTATGAGAAGGGTTCGGTCCTCATCCTAAACAAGTGGGACCCCCAATTTCCTCCCTGCTTGCAAGAAGGGGGGACACAAAGTAATAAAGGAACGTTTGGTATAAACATTAATAACAAAATGCCCATTTTTATTTACCCTAAAACTAAAGAAAACAAATAAAAGAGAGGAAAAGAATCATTAACTCTTCTCATTTCATTTGTTTTGTTTGACCATGAAAAAAAATCACTTTAATTTAAGAGGTAATAAATTGGTAAAAATTATTACGACTAACTCATTAAGTAAATGATAATTGCTATCCAATCCTTCTAACCAAACCTTCAATATGGTGTTGGTTTAAATGAATTTATTTCCGACCAAGAAAACACCGTTACCAAACATGATCTTAGTTGGAGCCTTGAAGGTGGCTTCCAAATACTAAACAAATTAACAATGATACAAAAAGTGACATTTTTGTCATGTTCTTTAATACTATAATGTGAGATAATATCCCTATTAAGTAATCTTTAAAATTATTCTTATGTGATAATCATTTCTCATTAAATTAAATAATTAGATTAAACTATCACTTCAACACCTTTATTTGGCATACTACATATGGGATCCATCTGTAGTAAGCCATTATTTTCCGGAAGTCAAAATGTGGTAAGTGTCAAAGATGCTTTGACCAGAATTTTCCAGATTGAGAAAATGGAATTAATTAATTTTAAATTAAATAATTCAATTCTATGTTTGGTGATAACAACTGTGCTGGATTGGGCTTACAATCAGAATCGTGTCGGCCATAACCTAAAGTTTTTAGTTGTAATACTAATCTTTTTCTTAGTTTTATTCGATTTGTATATTCCTCTCCCTTTTTAAATTTTTAATGCAACATTTACTAAAAATGGTTGTTATACATTATGTGCAACAAATGTTTTCTTTTCATTTTAAGTCATTATTTCTCTTGATCTCTCTTTTCATCATAGGCATCACTATCTTTCCCTCTCCATTCAATATTCACAAACAAATTCAGCCT